TGATGAGATGACGAGAATGGGTTGACACACTGGGCACTGAACTACTCACCAAAGCAGTTAAGCTAGTCTTATATAAACCTATGTATGTGGATTGCACTCAAACCAGGCCTTGGCCATTTTAACACATAAGTACTGTTTGTGGCACGGTGCTTAAAACTTTTTCTTTATCTAATCTCATTAATGTGGAACATTGGGGAATGTGTGTCAATGTTTTTCTCAAGTCGATGATATTACGTTCCATTACATAAGTTACTTATGGTTGCATTTGCTTATACAAGTATTCCCATTGCCTGGAGGAAATCAACAGTAAAGCTCTCAGCCTGGTCCATGTGGCTCCCAATGCTCTGAGACCTGGTGTCTAGTGTTTGTTTGCATGTGAATGAGCAGGTGAGAACAGGTGTGCATACTGTATATATCAGGGAGTCACAGCGCATTTCAGTCAGTCCATGGCTTCTCTCAACATGTCATGCACTAGGGATGTCTTGAGAACTGATTAATTGTATCAACTCAAGCCAAATTTCTGAAAAACACTGTGGTGGTAGAATCATCAGAGCTAACTAAAGACGTTGTGCCCTGGGGACGATAGGAGTTGAGCTTATCAAATACACACAGACTACAGGTGGTATCATTGAGTTGCTCTGCGTGGGTTCACACCTAACGGCCCAGTTTTTTAATTAAACCAATGGAAGGATGACACATGGTTTACATTTTCCAACTGATCCAGTTTGAGTTTCCAAAGGCAAACAGAAATTGTAAATAAAATAAAATGCGGTGGATGTTGGATTTCTGTATGACTCAACAGTGTCGGAAAGGATGTGCTTTTCCGAGGTTTGAAAATAGTCAGTGGAAAAAGCTTATTCAAAAATGTTACTCATATAGCTGCTGGCCAGTTAGCTATCTAATTCCTATATACTACACTGGTGAAAGAGAATGGGCCAGATCGCACCAGGGGGTTAAAACACTCCAGGGTTCAGTTCAACCTGGTTAACTCAGGCGGATGTGAACTACAGTAGGTGGGGTGTAACGATCCATCGATCAGTATCATCGATGCAAAGTGAAACGATGATAAACAGACTTATTAATGAATGGTTCAGGCCACTAAATGTTGCAGAGTGTTTGGTCAATATAGAAAGCGAGTGTGACAGTGACTGGTATAGTAGTTAGTGGTTTATTTGATAGTGATGAACAATACAACACATGTTTACATTTACTTCGACTTTATCAGTTGCAGGCCCCTGAATTGAACCAAATAGAAATCGTACAGTGGCAGACGGGTATTTCGGCAAACACAGTGCTATTGTCTAAATAATAGATGTTTTAAACGTAGCGTGATTAAACTTTAGATTTTCAGTGGGAAAGTGTCGCAAAGAAAAGAAAGAAATAGAAAGAATAATCTTAGCAGATATTAATTTAGAGTGGCCAAAGATCATCTTGATTAAACAAGGTATGAATGATTGCATTATTGATGTGGGACCACAGCCACAAAAATGTTGACTTGTTCCTTTTTGCTTTTAAACTCCACACCCTCACCTTAGGGATTGTCTAGGAAAGGCAGGAATCTGTAGCCTCTGCTCAAAGGGTGGGACAGGTATATCTGTCTGCTGGATAAGGTATTTTGGAAGACTGCAAGAGCTTTCATCTACACTTTGTTTGGAAGTCATCGAGTGAAGCTATTGGCTTTTCTTTTTTTTCGCAGACAGACTTTTTAAAAATATTGCTGCAAAAGAGAGAAACAAAGCATGTACCCTAGCACCAATCGGACCACAAACACAGACTCTCAGAACTGTTTCTAATCCCTCAGTGTTACTAAAATATTGCTGCTGGTTTATAAAGCTTTGAATGGTTTAGGCCCAAAATACATGTCTGACCTACTGCTAAATTATGAACCATCCAGAACTCTCAGGTCTTCAGGGACTGGTCAGCTTTCTGTCCCCAGAGTCAGAACTAAACATGGAGAAGCAGCATTCAGTTATTATGCTCCAAATATCTGGAACAAACTCCCAGAAACCTGCAGGTTTCAAAATCATTGAAAACAAATACTTTTTCAATGATTTTACCTAGAAATGGCAGGTTTGATATGGGCCTGTAGTTGTTCATTTCTGAAGCATCTAGATTATTCTTTTTTAAGAGCGGTTTAATGACTGCAGTTTTCAGGGCCTGTGGAAAAACACCTGAGTAAAGAGACTTGTTTACTATGTGAAGTAGATCTGAGGCCATGCAATGAAAAACATCTTTGAAAAACCCTGTTGGAATAATATCAAGGCAGCAGGAGGAGGATTTCAGAAGTTGATTAATGTCCTCTAGGTTTTTATCATTAATCTGATGGAATTGTGTCATGGTGTTTGAATTGATTTTAGGTGGACACAGGGACAACACATTTGCTGTACCTGATGCAGAGGCACTGACTGCTTGTCTAATTATCTGAATTTTGTCTGAAGAAGGAGGCAAAATCATTGCATGCCCTGGTGGATAGAAATTCAGAGGCTACTGACACTGGGGGGTTAGTTAGTCTGTCGACGGTAGCAAACAAGGCACGTGCGTTGTTTTTGTTTTTGGCAATGATGTCAGAGAAGAAAGACTATCGTGCAAGTCTTTCTTGCACGACAGTGCACCCTAACCCTAAAATATTTCCCCCAAGATTACTAGGTTAGTTAGTTTAATGTGTGAATTAGTTCCCCCTCCACTTAGCAAGCAGTGTAAACAAGGAAGACAAACAAAGAGAGATGTCTGTTGGACCTAGGAGAACTCTTCAGAAAGTGGACAAAGCTTACATGGTTGTTTTAGAAATAACTACATTGGCTGTGGTCTTTTATGATCTACTCTATGTTGTAATACTTGTTTGTGTGATTAAGAAGTTGTCTGGCTGATAATACAATACAATCCTCTGTGTCGTGGAAGTTGATGTTGGTCTCTCCAGTCTTTCTGCGTTTTTTACACTTCTTCTAATAATAGATCAAATGTGTATAGTGCCTTTCAAGGGACCCAAGGCCGCTTTACATGGTGAACAAACAAACAAAAGGGGCAAATAATAAAGTAAACATTAAATAGCAGTAGGAGTGGAAGCAGGGGGACTGTGATGGGTTAGGGGTCAAAGGCCATGGTGAACAGGTGAGCCCTAACAGCCTTAGCCACCACAGCAAGTCGTCTTTTACCCTGATGCATGTGACTGATGAGTTCAGGGAACATTCATGTGATGCACCAAGGCTCTCACAACACAAAACAAGTATTATTCAGAATCAAGCTGATAGGAGAAGACATATCATTGTCATGAGGGAGTCAGTTATCTTTTTCTGATGCGTCACATGTCCTGTTTCCTGAAGTCATATTTACTCTGATGATCCAGACAAGATTACAACACCAACTTCAATGAGTCAGATATAAATGGACAGAAGAAGGACTAACTAACACCTGCAGGGCTGGTTTTTCATTTCACCATTGAATGTTATGCAATGCTTGCTCTTCTCATATCATAATAGCATCTGTCACTGTACGTTAGCCCGACCGCCTGTGAGAAAAACACCTGAGTCAGAGGCAACAGATCTCATCAACAAACTGGTTTGGGTGCACGTTGATCTTATGGAAGAGAAATGGGGCCAGGGATAAGGGGAAATGACAGAATTAAGTCAAACTACATTTGTTGAAAGTAGAAGTCACACAAACGCAAGGATATTCACAATTTGGCATGCGTTTAGTCGCTCCTTTTACCTTATTCAATGGAGCAAGGCAGTTGATTTCCCTCTCGATATTTTAACTTTATGTTGAATATTTTAACCAACAATAATTTGATCTCAGCGTTAGAGTAGAAAATGTGCTTCTCTGATTTACTTTTTTACACTCTAATAATCTTCATAAATAGAGGTAGAAGGGATAGATAGATCAAAAATAAAAAAGGACTGGAAATATCTGGTATAAATAAAGTCCTTAAGATGTGAATGTCTATCATTATTGTGACCGCTTGAGGTTAACCAATCTTTTAGTTTGAATCTTTGATTCATCCAGGGGAAGAGTGACTCAGAGTGAATATTTACTTCTTATCCATGTTCCCATCAAGGATCTGCCACAGTCTTTCACTGTCGGCCATAGATGATTGAACGGTTATCAGTCAAATGCCTCACCCAAGAGCACCAGAATGGGGTCAGTTGGTGTTTCACAAACACTTTCTACAACTTCCCACGGAGTGAAGCCCAAACATGTAAAAATGCAAGGAACACAACAGCATCTCGTGTCCTGCGTGACAGTTCAGCTGCACGCCCTCCTCGCTGTAACTGTTTACCGCTCTCTGCAATTTTCAAACTTGACTAAACTAGCTGCAGCCACAGCTCACTGCCACGGTGGTTGATTTGGTGCCAGGGGGGAAACGGTTGCTATGTGAGATGTTTTTACCCACACAATTCAGATCTTCCCTCAGTTCCTACAGCTTTTTATCTACTAGGATGGGTTCAATGCAGAGAACAAATGTCACTGTGTGTGCTGTGTGCTCTGCATGTGTGACCATTAAAGAGGGTTTCATCCCTCCGATTCCATCTATCTCTATTTGGTGCTCTGGTATCCAAAGCAGGACCTAAAGGACTGCAAGGGGGGCAATGTGGGAGTTTCAGGGGGGGGGGGCATTAGCATTAGAGAATGTATGATTTTGTTTTGCACTTGTGTCCCTCAGCTCCCAGAGTCAACAGTGATTATGGTCAAATGATAAAGTAATTATATTTGACAACATGTTTTATGATCAGGGGTCTTGTTTAAAATTGTAAAAGCAACGTTCTGTCTGTATTATTTTTTGTGCTATTTTTGCAGGGACATTTTATTTAAAGAATAAAAACAATTAAGACAGTTGATGTTTATTTTTTTCTGTCAATCAACTTAATGATTAGTCGACTAATCGTGCAGCTCTATGATATGGTTATCATATTTACATATCAGTTTATTATCAACTTAAACGCCAATCCATAGCATCAAAACATGAAACAAAAAATGTAATACAAATAAACTAGTTTGTCTCTTACTTGTTGCTTTGGAAGCTGTCCAGTTCACCAGTGAAGAACACATCTCCTCCTGCTTCTTCTTTCTGCTTGGATTTCTTTCGTTTAATCTTAAACGACAACAGCCTCTTTGGCTTCTTTTCTTTCGGGGAAATGGGTAAAACATCCCCGGGCAGAGTGACGCTGTCTCCCGGGCTTAAGGGACCGAGGTTTGACGGCAGAGTGTCCGACCTGTCCCGGGGGCTGGACGCTGCTACATCTTTGAGGGAAGCGGACTGTTTCCGCTCCTTGCTTTCTTTATCAGGTGATTTGATTTTAAATAAGTTCTTTACTTTCAGGGAGCTAGACTTACTCATGGTGGCTGTTATTCAGAAAGCGCGAGAAGGAAAACATAACCACGAGGAGAGCTGTCCTACTTATAGCTGCTGAAGGAGTGATTCACCGGGATAACCTGCAGAGCAAGTTGCCGCGAGGCAGCAGGGGACATGCCCACACCGGTCGCGCGCTCCATCAGGTAAGATAAAAGTGCAGTAGAATTAGAAATAAAACACTTCCGACTATTAACTTCAAAATAAAATGATTCAAACACTGTTATCGATTTTTTTTATCATTATGATACTAAAATACCTGATTTAATCAAAAACAGTTGCTGATTGATTATCTGTCGATTCATATAAATCGAATGTTTCTACTTATAGCTCTCCTCAGGAAATACCCAGAGCCAGAGTTTGATTGTAAAGTGTAGTCTAGCTTGCCCTACTTGTTATAATATTCCATTTTTACATTGATGTAATTACTTATGGTAATTACTCAATCAGAACAATGCAACCAAGTTATTGACTCCCTCAGCATGAACACCTTATGCTTCACTTGTAAAAAGTTCTGATGTCATTAGAAGAGAAACATTTCCAATTCATAAAAATGCAAAGAAATAATCTACATGAAGGTCCTTATAGAGGCATGATAGAATGCGTAATATCGCCTTGAATATGCAGTTAAACTTGTTTGAGATAAAGAAGTGCTTCTTTTAAAGGAGCTGGGTGTGAGCTACAGGCATAATGAGGTTCAAAATAGAGACAAAGATCAAAGCAGGAGGAAATAGTTAGAAAGGCATGGCTATAGTGACCCACTAGGGGCCACAAATGGGTCCCCAGTGCTGGTTCTAAGTAGTTTCCGCTATCATACAACAACACCTATATTTAAACATGAATTAAAAATGCTTTACCCGGGGATTGTTGGAATCAATTTGACTTATTTTGGATAAACATATGATCAGTGCTGGGGGTGATGGGAACACGTAATAACTAATTTAAACAAAAAGGTAACCCAAGTAGTTAAGTTGGTGTTTGAGCATGTCTTTTACAACCCTAAATGTTAAGCAAGTGACAATTTAGTGTTTGTGTGTTTAAGGTGAGAGACTTGATGTTTAGCATCCACGCATTACAAGTATACAGCACACTACATGATGTTATACAGTATACTGTATATGTTTAATGATGATTTACATAAAAAGCTTTTATTTTGAAAGCAAACGTTTTACAACCAGATTATTGCTTGATGCAGCAGGCTCTTAAATATTTCAACACAAGCTTTGCAGTTAAGTCTAACAACGATGGAAACCTGCACTTTGGTTTAATGACATCTTAACCCTCTGTGTGATTATGGTGCCTTTATATGGGTGTGGATGTAAGTGTTTTTCTCTAAATGTAAGAGAGTGATACAAGTTCAACCACATGGTTTTCAAGATTGAATTTATGATAATAAGGGTTTCAACCCAGTTTGAACATACAGTTACCGCCCAGGGGCCACTTTTGTAAGTGTAACAGGAAGCCAGTGGCCAGTTAATAAAAAACCCATATCCATTGTCTATTTGTATTCCTTGTATGCACTCTGGGTTCTCATTCACTTTAAAAGTACAGATTATGAAAATGTTTTCTTATAAATCAATTTATTTTCATTTTGAATCAGTAAATGGTGGGGAATCCAGCGTTCTAACCCAAGCTACGAAGTCTCGCTGCCGTTCTGCCATATTATCTGTTTTACTTTAAGAAAAGCATTTGTTTTTCTTTTTATCCTTAAAATCCCTAGAATCAGTGACATTGATTGTACCTGAATACCACATGAAGCTCATTAAACTGAGGCCAAAAAGACGATAAGTTCCATAAATAATAGCTCTGTTCAGATCCTCTATGCCTGAGAATGAGAACTTGAAAAAAGTTATCAGATCTAGCATCCTGTCAATATAAACATATTATGGGTAGTTGTGATGTGACTTTTTACAACAGAATGGAAGTTAATGATATACTATCTCCTGAAATAATAGCTCTACCTGCTGGTCATGTTGTGGAAAAGCACCTAATATTTTACTGTAATACATATTTACTTCATGTCAAACACATAACAAGTAAATGCTACAAAAATAATAACATTGACTTTTTGTAAAGGATTCATCAGGCTCAATCAGGGTTTGCAAAAATACGTAAAACTGACAAAATTGGAGCAAGCACAACAAACTATAAGAAAATACAGAAATAATACGTAGGCAAAAACAAAATATGGATGTTTTATAACAAAATAACTGTCTAGCGAAGGGGAAGCACATTCTCCGAAAAACCTACAGGTTTGAGGGCATGAGAGAAGAAAGAGAGTTTCTGTGTGCAGGATGTTGGCAGGAGTTTACACCTGTGATCAAAGACAGAGTGTGAGAGTAAGGGAGGGCAGCCAACTTTTATTCAGTAGTTTGTAAAACTCTATTAAAAATGTAATTGATGAAGTGAAAACAAAAATCTAAAGTAGTCGTTAAACAATTCTGTCCTTAACTTCAAGGCTGGACCTGTTGCGACTCTGAGCAGTCGGTGTGAATTGAGCGCTGCCTGGAAGCAACAGAAACAGATCTGCTGAGCGTGCAGGTGGAATGTCCCTATATGTGTGACTTCAGAAAGGAGGAAGATCGCTGATGCACTTTACTCACACTGCAGCAGAGCCTGTGAGAACGCAGCTTTGCCTATATCCTTCTTCTTTGATATTTAAAGCGCACATTATTAGTGACATACAGCCCACCCACTGATCTTTGTTCAGAAGCAGCCTGGACACAGGTGAAGCTCCGGGAGGAAGATTTGTCTCACTCTTTCACTCTGCTCAACCCAGAGAATAAATCATCTTTCTGCAAGGTAAGTCTGATCAGAATAGAAAATAACTTGATATAGAAGAAGTAAATATGAATCATTATTTGGTTTATTTGGTCACATTAGCCAGTTTGGTAACTGCTTAATGTATTTTCACCAGTGGTGGACAGTAACTCAATAAATGTACTATATTACTGTGCTTAGGTACAATTCTTAGATACATATATTTGACTTAAAGGTACTTTTTAATGCTGCTTTATTCTTCTACTCCACTACAATTTAGAAGCAAATGTTATTTGGTTTCCATTACATTTATTTGCCAAAAATGAAGGTGATTAATACACCTTTTTTTTTTTAAAGATCCCCCTTTACTAGCTGCAACATTAAAGTGACACTAATGCATCAATAGTTTTAGTTCATTACAATGCAATACTTTTGTACTTTGAAATAAGGGATATTTTGAATGCAGGACATTTATCTGTAGTAAAGTATTTATACACTGTGGTTTAACAACTTTTAATTACATAAAATATTGTAGTACTTCCTCAAACTCTTATTTTAGGGTTTCTAAATGTGTTAATCCTTTAGTATAAACGTAAGTGTAAAAGTGTAAGGTCATGGTTTGTCCTTGACATAGTGTGTCTGAAGAATTACGAAGCCTGAAACTGCACTGATTGATTGCTCACTTACAACATGTATAATGTTTTTATTGAATCAAGTTTCACATAGGACAGACTTTTACAGAACTGTTAGTTCTGTAAAAAATGGAAACGATATATGCAGAGCTCTTGAAGTTCTCATACTGAGTTTCTAAACAAAAGGCTAATCTTTTCTCGTTCAATTATCTACTGTTAGTGTAAAACCATCCCTTCCTCATTGACCCGTGCTACTGTGCGTTACTATGTATAATCTACTGTAGGAATTTTTGAGAAGTGAGAGTCCTGAAATGAGAGATATCATCACATTGTCATGTCTGTTCCTTATCAGGCTTTTAAAGAAGTAAGTGGAAGCACGCAACAGGTTTCTCACACGCTTCTATTTACATAAAGGAGAAATCCTGTGTTGGTGTGTGTAATTTTTTTTTTTTTTGTACATGTTACTTGTTAGACGCTTTTATCCAAAGCGACTTACATACTCAATACTGTGGGCAATCCCCACAGGAGCAATTTGGGGTGAAGTGTCTTGCCCAGGGACACAACGACATGCTGACTGCAGTGGGGTTTGAACCTGTGCTCCCTTGATCCGAACACCAACGCTCTATCCACTGCGCCACACGCCTCCCATCAAAAAACATTTTATTATTTATTTCAAATAAAATTAGGTTTGCTAGGCTCCAGTGGTAGACAGGAAGTACATTTGCTCAGATTTTTTACTTATTATATTACATGTTCACAATTCTTGAAATATTGTGCCTTTTACTCCACTTCATTGTTTGACAGATTTAGCTGTTTTGAAGATTCAGAATATAAATGCATGATGTAATCAAGAAATACATTATTATGTACTATTATAAATTAAGACATTATGTACAATATTTGAGTAAATGTATTAAGTTATTTTCCACCACTGATTATAATTCTTCAAACTTTAAATGCAGGATTCTTCAAAAACATTTTGTGTGTTTTTACTTTATTTAAACTTGGGTATAGGCAACATTGGAGAAGACAGCACGAGTAAACTAATTTTTTTTTAATTAAAAAACAAAAACAAAGAAACGGTCATTTCCTGTGAGAATCGTCAGAAAAAAAATCAAAGATCTGTGCACCTCTCTTGTGAACCTGCTACATGTTAGTGACCTCTGTACACTGACTGATGCTCAGAGACACATCTCAGATCCTTCACGATACAGATCTTATCAGCTTCTGGGATCAGACAAAGCACAAAGCAACAACTCACTGCCTCCAATTGTGTGCATTCACTTTTTGAAATAAGGTCATTCACACCCAGAGGTAGAGCTGAACTAGAACGCCGGCTTTTTTCCTGTAAACAGAAGAAAAACCGGTGATGTGACTCATACCCAGTCCAAGTAATGCACACCTTGCAAATAAACTAGATTTGTGGTGGTACCGCTTTCCAGCTGAAGTCTTTCTTAGGGCACATTACTCATCAGTTTAAGAATAAATACATTTGTTATACCTTTTAGTAAAGTCATATGTTATGATTAATAATACATTTAGTTGCCTAGTGGATGGAGAATTCAGATATTTTTGCTTGGTTAGAGTACAAAATAGTCTAAAAATACTCAATTACAAATACAAGTTCTGCATTGAAAATGTTACTGGCAATATTCAAAGTGCGTTAT